TGCGGATCCTCGGTTATTATGTACATCGCCCACCTGGGCATGTAACAGTTGGTATCGGAACACTGCACATGAATCAGGACAACCTAATCTGACACGTGTGCAAGGACTAGGTAGCTGATGAGTCTTGATAGATTGATTAGAGCACACTACTTAGCCCCCCAAATCACGATTTTGACCTTACTGCCAAAAATCGAATTTTTTTTTCTGCTCTTGAATTTTTTTTACTCGCTATTTCTGTTGTGGAAAATCGCAATAGCGCAACATCTGAAATTTCCGTTTTCGTTTTTCTTCTGAAAATTCGAAATTTCGTTGTTAGAAAATCCGGAATAGACCAATTACCTCAGAAGAACTCCTACAAGCGATCCATACAATGAAAAACAATAAGACCCCAGGAATTGATGGACGAACCAAAGAATTCTGGGAAAAATTCTGGCCGCTAATAGGAAATGATCTTCTTAATTTCTATAATGACTGCTGGTCCAAGGGAGGGCTGGGTAACTTACTCAGCAGCAGTGTGGTCACGCTGCTCTACAAAAAAGGCGAGAAAGATGACATTAAGAACTATAGACCTATCTCATTGCTGACTCTCCCATACAAGATTCTGGCCAAGACTCTGTCCAATCGGATCACCAAAATCACCAACAAATGTTTCCATATCGACCGAACAGGTTTTATTTCGGGACGGTATATTCTGGATAATGTGATGACTCTGAACGAGTCGGTAAGAAAAATCAGAGAAAGAAAGATAAACGCTGCCATCCTTTTCTTCAACTTCAAAAAAACCTACGATCAGGTGAACAGGGATTTTATGGAAGCAAGCATGGCAAGGATGGGAGTAGGACCAAGCTTCAGGAAATGGGTTAGGATACTATACAGGGACGCGGTAGGTTGCATCCAAGTAAATGGACTTCTATCAGACTCCTACACGATATCTCGCTCAGTCCGCCAAGGGGACCCACTGACCCCTTCAATCTTTCTCTTTGTAATGGAGGCAATCGCCTCCTTTCTGCAAAAAGACCCATCGATACAGAGACTGGCCAGCACCGACGTAGGCTCAGCCCACCAGATGGATTTCCCCACAGCCATTATGTTTGCGGACGATCTGACAGTCCTGATCAGGGCCTCAGACTCCTTCAGAACTTTAGTTAAGGCAATGGATGCCTTCAAACTAGCATCAGAAATGAGAATCAACTGGGGGAAGACAATCGGCTGGTGGCTCTCTGAAGAAGAACCCCTCTCACTCCAAGGCGAGGAGGCGGCGATGACATGGCAGACACAGGCATCCCCAACTCGCTATCTAGGCATCCTAATGACAAGAGATGGCCTGGTCCCGCAAATGGGCCCCGCCGTGTTGGCAAATCAGATTAACAAAATGGGGAGATGGGGCAACGCTTTCACATCCCTGATTGGCCGAGCGTTAGTCCTCAACACCTCAATCTTCTCAATGATGTGGTACATAGCTTCCATTTGGACAGTCCCAGACAGCTCGGTTAAAGAACTGAATCGCAGAGCCAGATGTTACCTGTGGACAGGCGACCCCAACAGAGACAACTGCATTTCCAAGATAGCCTGGCATTATGTCACAAGGAGACCACGTAACGGAGGCCTAGGAATTATTGACCCAGAAACGGAAACCAAGGCCTTACAAATCAAATGGATCATCAAATTGTTGATGCACCCGGACAGCGCCCGGAATAAAATGGCTTTAGATAGTATCAGATCGGTGGCCCCCACCTCCTCCCCACACGATATGTCAGGGTTGTTCTGGGTAATGAACAAAGAATGGTTGATAACGACAGGACGGAGGAACCGGACGAGGAATAACAGACCAGAAGATTATCGACCTCCCACCCCTTACTGGCCAGCCCTGCTCCGCTCATGGAGGAAAATTCCTAACAAGATCAACAGACCGAAATCCAAGGATGAAGTGTTAAGGCAACCACTTTTTGGGAACGAGTGGGTAACAAACGAGGCCGACAATCCGATTTACCTCGAGCAAAAATGGCTGTCTTGGGTCAAAAATGGTATCTGGAAGATAGACCACCTATGGATGGAGGAAAGGAAAGATTGGATAACAGAACATGAAGCAAGCGCCAGACTGAAAGGATGCCACAGACGAGGAGCAAATAAATCTCCAGTACATAATTAGTCGTATTCCACAAGAATGGAAAGACATCCTGATTAAAGATGAGCTGTGGAGACCAGGGGAATGGGGCCTCATGATACAAGACTCTAACCCCGCTAGAGCCTTCCAATGCTCCCATATACAGCAAGGCTCTGCCGCTAGAGCTTATTTTCTATCCTTTCCGATTTCCTACAACAGCACTGACATGCCATCCATCCTGAACCATCACGTTGAATCCTCCACACTGGAACTCTTCCTTCTGAGGAAAGTTAGGGTCCTAGGCACATGGCCAAAATCAATTTTCAGACCTGACACTGCAGTCCGATCCTTGGAATTTGATCCCGCTGAATGGGCATGGAAACCCAATAATAACAACAACTTCAAGGCAAAAATCCCAATTCAAGACTACACCGTCAAACTAGGGTACAGACTCTCATTGAAGACTAAAGACCCGGACCCCATTATTAAAAACAGGTGGCAGAAACTGGTGGGTCAAGAAGCTGACAAGATCCAAAGAATCCCTTGGGAAAAATTCAAACGAATTAGACCAGTCAAGATCAGAAGCTTGCAGTGGTTGATAGCTTACGCTGCCCTACCTGTAAATCAATGGTTACACACTAGACGGAAGACCACAAATCCTGACAGCTCAGAATTATGTGCAGTCTGCACGGAGGGAGCGGTTGAAGATGTAGTCCACTGTCTAATCCTCTGCAAGGAGGTCACGGAATACTGGGCGAGAGCCTCCTCACTCTGGAATTCCCTTTTCACATCTTCCTTCCCCACAYAACCCCTCCAACTGCTMCTCTTGACTAACATCYCTAATCAGGCTCGRAGGGCGGAAAGAATCTGGTTTGAATTCATCAGGAAAGTGACACTATGGGTCATATGGAAGGAGAGATGCAGCAGGACAATCGAAGGGCATGTCAACCATAGGGAGAAGGTATGGCTGGAAACCAAAATGATGATTCAAGCGGAAATCCTGTGCAGATGGCGAAAGATCAAACAAGACTGGTCAGAGGACGAAGACCAACGGAAGAAGGAAAGGGCGAAGTTCTACAACAGCTGGCTGTTAAAGGGCAAGATTGCAGAATTGAATGAGGACCAGATACAGTGGAAAGATTGGCACAATTCAATTCCGGAAAGGAATCCTCATCAACAGACAAGGTCGGAGGTATCAATCATGGTCTAGGCCCAACGGGTTTGGATTCTATGCTTCAAGAGTCCCAAGGAAGTTGACTAAATGAGGGCACAGGGGGGGAAATAGGTCAGAAAAGGTGATAGATTATCCCGGAATAAGAAGGTAGTACGGAGTGCCATGGCCCAAAGGATACAAAAAGACGGTTTGAAAAGAGGGGGTGGGGGGAGTCTGAGGCCGAGCAAACAAGGTAACAAAGATGAAGGGAGGGTGTCTCTCTAGGTAATTCGGTTACATCTGGCAGACCCGGATACCAGGTCTGAGAGGAGAGAGGAAGGCTGGGCAAGCGGTCAGTTAACTTCCCACTATGGAGGTACAACGATCAACATTGTATACTGAAAAGAGGGTTTCGGGTTTAAGGTCGAAAGGCATCCCAATCTAGGTTCAGGAAGCCTGAATGGGTAGGGTTTAGGCAAAAAGGTCAATTGAGGGATTCACTCCAGAATGTTAGCCACCATCTGGCAGACTCGAACACCAGAACTGAGTGAAGAGAAAGGGTCAGGGCAAGCTGACAGTCAATCCTCCACAAGTGTTGAGCAATCAATGTTGTTCAGGGGTCCTTCGGCCAAACGGAAGGAAGCGTGTGTGAATTCTTAATTGATGTAGAAATTTTATGACTTGCCGGGGGAATAGGAACCAGACTGACGCTCCCCAGAATAGAAGGAGCCAGGACCATAAGGCCTGTTTAAAAAAAAAAAAAGAAAAAAAAGAAAAAAAAAGAAAATCCGGAATATCTTTTTTTCGAAAATTTCGATTTCCTGTTACATTTTTTAAAATCCGGAATATCTTTTTTTCGAAAATTTCGATTTCCTGTTACATTTCCCGTTATTTGGAAATTCGGAATATTTTGTTCCGAAATTCGTTTTTCTGAAAACAGTACGGGAAATCCCTCTTGCAGTACCATCTTCAAAACTGCGAATACTCTCATCTGAGTAAGTCCGAGTATTTGATTTCTTTTCAGAATTTTTTTCGCAGTTCCAGGATTCTGTTAGTCACAGTTCTATAATCATTTGCAGTCTGAAGTCAAAAAAAAATTCTCATTGATCATTTCGCACTTCAAGGGAGGTGGGAGACCTACTGAACTTGCAAAACTCAGGATTTTCTATTTTTCTCGAATTTTTTTTGCACAAAGTTCAAACTTTTCTTTTTTGATTAGTGGCTCCTTATCTGGGCGATTTTTCCCACCCACCCCTCCCCACCTATGTTGTTGCCCCCTCTGGTCTTACCTTCTCTCTTGGTCTCCGTGTACCCCCTGCGGGGGCATTGGTAAGTTGCACGTCAGCAAACCACGTCAGCAGGCCACGTCAGCGGACCACGTCAGCAGGACACGTCAGCCGACAGCAGTGCCACGTCAGCAACAGGAGTACCACGACAGCAGGCCCCCGGCCTGGTCTATGCTTTTTAGTTCACAAACAGCCGTCATGGACCAGAAGTTCGGGGAAACCGATGAGGCCTATCAGGCCCGGATGCTGGCCTGGAGTACCGAAACCAAGAAACGGGCGGACGACGTAGCAACTGCAGCGAAGAAGAAGGCAGAGGACGCCGAGAAGGCACGTCTACTGGCAATTGAACAGCAGCGCCAGCACGACGAGGCAGCAGCAAAGGCTGCTGATGAAGAACGAGTTCAACGGCGGGAGAAGATATTTAGCGGAGAGCAAACTTTGCTCACAATGGCAGCGGTTTGGCGGGCCGAGGCCTAGTATGGCAAGATGGAGGATAGCGAAAACAAGATCGCTCTACTCCTCTCCCATCTCACGGACCTCCTAGCAACATGCATTACACAGCAGGAGGACATCCACAGCCTCGACGACACACTGACTCAAGTCCACGGCTGCCTCCGCCAACTGGAGCAGCGACCTGTCGCCGCCCCCGATGCCAGCTCTTCCAACACCTCCGATCGCCTCGAAGCATTGGAGATGGACGTCGGCTCCCTCAAGGACGACGTGCAGTTACAGCAAGCTGCAACGCCGTCGACAACTCGAGTTCGGAACCGCGCGAGACAGCTGGAGCAGCGGATCTGTACTGCCGCCGACAACTCGAGTTCGGAACCGCGCGAGACAGCTCCAAAGTTCGACGGGCAGGAGATTTTCTGCGACTCGACGAAGACAGATCCGATTCCATGGTTTCGCAAGTTCGAGCTCACGCTGCAGCTACACTACGTCAAAGAACACAAGCACCACGCGTATTTATACTCCCGGTCAGGGGGCGCGTGCCAAGCATGGTTGGACAAGATCTTGTCCGAGTACGGAGTAGTAGTTGGCGACTTGCATACCAAGATCAGCTGGGATGATTTGAAGGCGGCGTGGCATAAGCGGTTCCAAGTGGAGCTGCCGAAGATCAAGGGAATGGACAAGCTAATGGTCTTCGAACAAGGCACGTTGTCGAGTGTCGACTGGATTGCCGAATACCAACGCTTGACATCCGTCCTAGACATCCAAATGGGCTTCAAAGCCATCCGCCACTATTTTATCTCAAGGTCGTGTCCGGCATTGAACAATACCTTGACTCACATCGAGGACACCCTGACGACAACGGCGGAACTCTTTGACAAGGCCGCGCAGATTATTATAACGAACAAGGAGGCTAAGAACTTGCGTTCGTCTGCGGCAGGCCCGGGCAGAGAACAGCATCGGTCGAAAGTGACCGTGTTTACCAAACTAGTGAGTCCGTGTCTGCCAATGAAGGGGACAGACTCGCAGCCGCCCGGGAAGGTGGCCACTCCGGCAAAGGCCAAGGACACGGCAAGACGAAGACAAACACCTCATCTAGCCCCGGGCCTGGCGCAGCAGCTCCAGCCCCATGGTCCCAATACGGTCTCTCCGAGCAAGCATTCAAAGCACGCACAAGATTTCACTATTGCCTATGGTGAAACAACGATCTCCCTGAGACAGTGGCCTGCCCGTCGAAAGGCAAGGGCAAATCGGGAAACCGAGCACCGCAGGGGGTGACTCGACGACACTCTCGACGCCTTCGGAACCGGGCACTTTGCAGGTGACCGCCCTTCGTTCCGAGGCGCATGCGGAAGTCGATAGTCCTCTTCTTTATTCTTTTGAGGACTATGCAGCCCGGCTCGTTCCTACGCTGGGTACTCAAGCTCAAGGACAAGACGTGTGTGCGACATCTTCTCCATCCGACGGCGGCGACTTATCGTCTTCAAGTTGTTCTTCACGAGTTTCGGCGCACGAGTTCAACATAGAGGTATTGGACCCGCTCACGTCCGARGATTTCGCATGGCTTCCTCTCCCGACTACGGGCCGCTTGCCGGGACCTCAATGCACACCATTCTGCGCTCATTTCCATACGTACTTATCCTTCTATGCACCACCAACTTCGCCGACGGATGACGAAGTCGCGGTGGGGGACATCCTTGCGTATGTTACCAAGGTGGCCCGCGAGTTTCGCACGCAGCGGTACGATGACAACAACGCACCGCTCATGTATGTCTGCATCCAGGTTGGGCAAGCGTCCTGCAGCGCTTTGCTGGATAGCGGCGCGTCTCGCAATTTCATGAGCCAAACCTTTACGCAAAGGGTTGGCCTTGGCGCACAAGTTCGGAGGAAGGCAAACCCGACGGCTATCAAGTTGGCGGATGGAAAGACGCAGCGACTTCTCGACCGTTACATCGAGGCCGTACTAATGTATTTCGCACCTCATGCATGTGAACCGGTGACGTTCGACATTTTGGACATGGACTTCGACATTATTTTGGGAATGCCTTGGCTTGCAAGTGCGGATTACACGGTCAACTTCCACCTGCGGACTCTTAACGTTCGCGACGCCTTCGGCGCCGAAGTGTCGTGTACTGTTCCTCTTCCGCACCCTTCGACTCGGTGCCAAGTGGTGACGACCAAATCATTCCGGGCGACTTGTGCTTATGAGCAGCCCGAGGAAATCGGCCTATGTTTCCTACGGACCGTCACGGTAGCCGACTCTTCACCCACGGACTTGTCTTCGGACCCCCAGGTGGTGCGGTTGCTGGACGAGTTCGCCGACATCTTCGAGTCACCTACCGGTGTGGTGCCGGATCGGCCGATCTCTCATGAGATCATTCTTGAGGCCGGCGCCGTGCCACCGAAAGGTTGCATCTATCGGATGAGCGAGGAGGAGCTTGAGGTCCTCCGCGCACAACTCGACGACGTGTTGGCCAAGGGCTGGATCCGCCCTAGTAGCTCCCCATATGGAGCACCAGTTCTCTTCGTCCGAAAGAAGAACAAGGATCTACAATTGTGTATCGACTACCGCAAGCTCAACGCGCAAACCGTCAAGAATGCGGGGCCTCTTCCTCGCATCGACGATCTTCTTGAGCGATTGGGACGCGCAAAGTATTTTTCTAAGTTGGATTTGAAGTCGGGATATCATCAAATCTCGGTCTAGCCGAACGATCACTACAAATCCTCGTTCAAGACGCGGTACGGGCATTTTGAGTGGGTGGTCATGCCTTTCGGCCTCACCAATGCCCCAACGACCTTTCAAGCGGCAATGACCAACGAGTTTCGTGCAATTTTGGACCGGTTCATGTTGGTCTACTTAGACGATATTCTCGTCTATAGCCGGACATTGGAGGATCATCTTGGGCATCTTTGACGAGTGTTGGAGATGCTCCGCCGCGCCACGTACAAGGCCAACCGCGACAAGTGTGAATTTGTTCGACAAGAGTTGGAATACTTGGGCCATTTTGTCACATCGGAGGACATCAGTCCGCTATCGGACAAGATTCAAGCCATCCAAGAGTGGCCGGAGCCACGGAACGTCACGGATGTCCGCTCGTTCCTTGGCCTCTCCGGCTACTACCAGCATTTTATCAAGGGCTACTCGAAGATCGCAGCCCACTTGACCAAGCTTCAATGCGAGAAGCCGCGCTATTATCTGTGGAGGTCTTGCGCATATATGCCCCGTTTTTGCCTACGCGCGTCACTACGGATGCGTCCGGCTATGGCATTGGTGTCGTCCTCGAGCAACATGATGGCGTGGACTGGCACCCGGTCGAGTATTTCAGCAAGAAACTGCCGGTCGTGCACTCCATTGACGATGCACACAAGAAGGAGCTCCTCGCCTTCGTCCACACGCTCAAGCGGTGGCGACACTTCCTCTTTGGTCGAAACCAATTCCGATGGGTAACGGACAACAATCCGTTGGTCTTTTACAAGACCCAACACACCGTCAACAGCACCATCGCTCGATGGATGACTTTCATCGACCAGTTCGACTTCTTTCCCGATCACATTCCGGGGAAGTCCAACCGTTTTGCGGATGCTCTGTCACGGCGTCCAGATCATTGTACCGCGGTCTACTCAACCTTCGAGATCGACAACGACCTGCGGGACAGCTTCATCCGCGGCTACCAAGCCGACCCCGAGTTTCGCGACAAGTACACGAATTTCTCCTCTCCTAATCCGGCCCCTTCTCACTACCGGATCCAAGAGGGATACTTGCTTGTCCACACACGGGGGAAGGACCTTCTTTGCGTACCGAGTGATCCTCACTTGCGTACACGGCTTCTTGGCAAGTTCCACGATGCTCCCGCCACCGGACACTTTGGAGTCAATCGCACGATTGGCCGACTTCGCGAGCGATTTTGGTGGCCCGGCCTTCTCGGCGACGTCACACACTATTGCAAGTCATGCGAGGTTTGCCGACACTGCAAATCACGCAGCCATCGTCCGTACGGCGAGTTACGACCATTACCGGTCCCTTTGCGGCGAAGGGAAGCGATTGCCATGGACATTACCGGCCCATTCCCCAAGCACAAGACTGGCGTGGATGGGATTCTCAAGGTGGTCGACTGACTCACCAAGTTCGCCATGTTTTTGCCTTGTCGCTATCATGCGAAGGCACCGGAGTTGGCCGAGGTTCTTTACGCTGGTTGGATTCGAACCAAGGGTTACCCTAAGGAAATCGTCTGTGACCGCGACACTCAGTTCATGTTCGATTTTTGGTTGGCGCTCATCAAGCGATGGGGCTCATCTCTCAAGCCAAGTTCGGCTCGCCACCCCCAAACCGATGGCCAAACGGAGAGGGCTCATCAGACCGCGCAGGTTCTCCTTCGCACTCTCATCCGTCCCGACCAAACGGATTGGGTCGAGCGGCTGCCGGATGTCGAGTTGGCTTACAACTTGTCCATCCACCCGGCTATCGGGATGTCACCCTTCCAGTTCGAGCACGGCTCGCCGGTCACTTCGTCGTTGGACACCATCATTCCACGAACGGCCAAGAGCGACAACCATCTTCTTTTCTTGCGTCGGATGCAAGAGCTACTTGTCAAGGCACGTGACCAAATGGCCAAGATGCAGCAACGCATGAGCCAACAGGCCAATCGCCAGCGTCTTCCTTGCCCATTTCGGGCCGGCGATCTCGTTTGGGTCTCCGCCGCAGAATTCAGCCTTGAACAAGATATCTCTCGCAAGCTCCTCCCGAAATGGATGGGGCCTTGGCCTATCGTGGCACCCGCTGGGGATGCACCCGAGGGACCTTCCTTCACCATTCAGGTGCCCGCCCACTTGCTTGTCTACCCGGTCTTTCATTGCTCCAAGTTGGCTCTTTACACGCCAGCGGAACATGACTATTTTCCCGGGTGACGATCGCAAGACCCACCCTCTATGGACGGTTTTCAAGAGGTCGGCGACATCATCTCTCAGCGACGCTACGGCAACAGGCCAACCGAGTACTTGGTACATTTTGCATACTGCACACACCGAGTTGACCGTTGGTTGACCCGTGCGGAACTTCAAGCAACAGCTTCAGACGTTCTCGCACGCTACGAACGTAAGATGCAAGGCAAGCCGGTCTCTTCGGCTCCACGCCGCACCCGCGTCCAGGTTCCACCTTCAGATCGTCAGCTTCGCCTTGACCCCGGCTTGACTTCATAAGGAGGGGGGGGTGTTATATGCTGCACCTGCACACGAGGGCCATTTTCCAGGTCCTGCGTCCCTCAGGCTGAAAGCCTGAAAACCAGGGCCTACAGGCCCCGTGTCTGTTCAACTCGAAAGCCTGAAAAACAGAGGCCTACAGACCCTTTGTCGTTTCAGACTAAAAATGGCAGTAGCCTTTTTAGCCTGAAACGAAGGGCCATTTTCGGTCTGTCATCAGACCGMCCTGCCATGAAACTCAGGCACCGAACCAGGGTTTTAGGAACAGGCTATTTTTGGCCTGTTCCCACGATAGCTGCAGCGCCAGCCCCTGGCTCAGCTTGGCATTGGCAAGAACAGCCTCCTGGACTGCCCGCCCTGCAACTACAGGCAGTCGGAGGCAGTTAGGAGGCAGGCCGAGGTAGTACATAGGGACTTCCCATGCACTTCACAGGTAGGCAGGAGGCAGGCAGTAGTCTTCAGGATTCGGCAGCAGCACTCTGGAGGAGCGTTGCAGGAGTAGTAATAGCGTTAGCTGTAGTCTTCAGCGCTGGGCGCCATAGCTAGAAGAGCACTAGAGAGAGATACACACATGCAATAATAGACAACACGTGCGAGGTTTTACTTTCGCAGCATACACGTCCTGTCCATGGCGTGCGGCAACTGTCACGATTACCCTTCTACCTCACTGCTCAGGCAATCATTTCAGCCACTATCCCTGTTTTATACCCTATCATCCTTGTCCTTCCCACCTTCTTGTCCTCATTCCCTGAAGTGTCCTCATCATCGTTGCCTCTAAGTTTCCCATGGTTGCGCTCTCTGTACTGTCCTTCTCGTCGTTGATTTCCCGTAGTCGTCGATTTTCCCTGACGCTGCATATAACCTCCTACAACTTTGTACGCTCCAGTGCTTCTGACTGTTTCTAGAAATCCGTACTCATACATTTGGCGGCTTTCCCTTTGGCCGTAATTTCGTCTTAATCTTCCGTATTTATATCCTTGTTGGATCACTGACTTTTGTCCGACTTTGTTTGTTTGTTTTTKATTTTCGTGCGGCCGTGGGTTCCATCGTTATTTTTCAAGTGAGTATTTTCATTTCCTTGTCGCTTGTTTTTCTGCACTTGGAAACATATGCTTTTCCTGGATTTTGATTCGATTCATATCTCTACGTATGTTGGGGAATCAATACGGTACTTCTTGCATCATTATATCTGCATATTTTTCGGTTCGCATGTTTTTTCGTTTTTTACTTCTTCTTTTCTATTCTTTTCTGCGTTGGATTTATATTATTCAACTCTGGGTGTTTTTTCTGCTTCAAGACACTTACGGAATACATTCCGGACTTTCATGTCTTTGTAGTTTCTGATGAACGCCACGATAGTCGTGCGTGTTATCCTCCATGGGTAGTCCATCAGCCTGAGTTCCTTACAAAACATCTTCATTACCGTGATTAAATCTGAGACATCATAGGTGTTCGCCACCATTCTGTGAAATGTGCCGATTATCGTCAGCACTTTGCAAGGAAGATGAGCATTAGCGAACTTTGGCAATCAAACAGCATCATACATATGAGCCCAGATAGTCTTGACCTCGAACCACAGCAGACTGGCATCACGAGATACACCAAATAAGAACACACCAAGAGTTCAAAATTGACAATGCTGAAGTAGTCCCATCATCATCAACTACGAACCAAAGTTGATATCCTATTGGCGCTCGGCGCCCAGACTATAGGTGGCAGATCCTATCTAGCCTATACTACGAAGCAGAATGATGACATCAACAGCGTTCCCGAAGTACGAGCATATGGCGACCAATGTCGCACGCTTCAGCACCAGGTATGCCTCTCKTAACACTCACAACCCCGATCCACAYYGCACAGATGCCACTAGCACCCCAAGGACCACCCTGCGCTTCRCCTAGCATACARCAGCGCAGCTTGGCTATGGCTSCGTGCTCCCTCCTACTCGCCCGTGAGAGCGTGAGTGCCAGCCAGCCAGCGGATTGCGCAGCAGTGCTCACGCGGCATGCAGCCAGCACCCGAATACCGAATGAGGAGGCAGGCCCTTCCCTATATCGAAGTGGCCTGCCTGCGTCCAGTCCAGGAAACTTCCGGTAGGCCCCGGTAGGCACAGGCCCAGTCACGAAGGGAGCAGGCCTGGGGCCTGATGTGGTTGTATGCGCCCAACTGCTTTCGGCCTGTGTTTGGCATGGTACCCGTATCCAGTCCATGGCCTGGTACCCGTATCCAGCCCAAGGCCTGCTTCACATTCATTTACACAGGCGGCCCAGGGCCTGGATTCATTCAACCAACTGGCGCAATGCAACTGTCTGAATTTCCCCGTTGCGGGGTACCCTGAAGAATGAGGCCCGAAGGGCCTGTCGTGCCTGCCTTCACTTAGGGCGGCCGACCTTGTTGCAGATAGGGNGAATTTCCCCGTTGCGGGGTACCCTGAAGAATGAGGCCCGAAGGGCCTGTCGTGCCTGCCTTCACTTAGGGCGGCCGACCTTGTTGCAGATAGGGCCCCGTAGGGGCTAAGCGGGCGTAGCCTCGCATTCCCTCCTCCATATCTTCGTTAGTCCTCTTCGAAGATCAATCTGTAGC